GCGATAGAGCATGGAAAGACTTGCGACATTTCCTCTATGTAAAAGAATTTGTAGATTGTGTGCGTGTTTGATAAATTTTTAAAACATTTTTATTTCCCCTGATTTACTAGTAACATCTATTTTATTTTGTGTATATTTTATAAATATTTATAAATAATTATATTTTATATATATTTTTCATTGCCTCAAACTTTTTTTTAGTAGATACCCGTATTTAAGTAGACGTCCCGTTTTATTTTAAACTATTTCATCTGCAAATTCGAGTGTAAAAGCGGGCAGACTAAGATGCAATTTTTACAAATAAAATGAGTAATATTTGGACAGATGATATCCCCATTTTTTTATTAGTTTTCTTACATTCAAATTTCCAATTATTCTTATCATTTTAGAAGGTTATTCTAATGATCCGAGTGTTCCAACATTAATCGGTACAACTAAATTATATCCTTTTTAAATTTCTATCGTAAGATCTAAATTTTTCCTCTCTCTCTCTTTCACTCCCTCTTTAAGTCCCTCACTTTCACTCCCTCTTTAAGTCCCTCACTTTGTCAGTGTTTCTCTATCCCTCTTCTTACGTTCTCTTTGACGTCTCTCTCTCTCTCTCTCTCTCTCTCTTTGATTTGTCTCCCTGCCTTTTTTCTCTAAGTCTCTCCTTCCATCCCTCGTGCTCTTTCCCCCTCACGTTTTTTTTCTCTTTCTCCCTCTGTCGCTTTCTTTCTCTTTCTCTCTCGTTCTTTTCTCCCATCTCCTTTCTTTACTTCACAGTCTTTGTCTCCCTATCTCTCGCTTTCTCTCTTTCTCGCTATCTTTCTCTGTTTCCCTATTGAACGCTCTTTCTATCGATATCTCTTATTGTCCTCCCTTACTCTTTCTTTATCTCTTTCTCCCTCTTTCTCTTCCTCTCTCTATGTCTCGCTTTCTCTCTGATTTTCACTCTCTTTTACTTTCCCTATTGTTCTTTCTTTCTCTATTTGTCACATTCTCTTTTCTCACATACTCTCTGTCACTCGCATTCTCCAAACTCCCTGTCTCTCTCCCTCCCTCTTTCCTTGTCTTTATTTCTCTCTTATTTCTATCTCTCTTTTTTTTTAACTCATTTGTTCACATTTTCTTTCTTTATTTCTTTCCTTGTTTCTTTTTTTGTGTCACTCATATTCTGTTTTGCTGTTTCTTAATTTCCCTGCCACATTACCCCCTCCCCTGATTAGAATTTCTCGACGTCTAGCATTGGATGAATACGAAGAGTCTACCCAAATATGGGTATCCACTAAAAATAATATTTGAAGTAATGAACATATATATATATATATATATATATATATATATATATACAGTGTATCACAAAAGTGAGTACACCCCTCACATTTCTTCAAATATTTAAGTATATCTCTTCATGGGACAACACTGACAAAATGACACTTTGACACAATGAAAAGTAGCCTGTCTGCAGCATATATAACAGAGTTAATTTATTTTTCCCTCAAAATAACTCAAAATATAGCCATTAAAAGCTAAGTCCCTGGCAACAAAAGTGAGTACACCCCTTAGGAAAAGTTGTCAATATTAACATACAACATGTCAACTGTCAATATTTTGTGTGGCCACCATCATTATCCAAAACTTCCTTTACTCTCCTTGGCATGGAGTTTCCCAGAGCTTCATAGGTAGTCACTGGAATGCTCTTCCACTCCTCAGACGACGTCACGAAGCTGGCGGATATTTGAGACTCTGCGCACCTCCACCTTCTGCTTGAAGATGGCCCAAAGATGTTCTATTGGGTTCAAGTGTGGAGACATGCTTGGCCAGTCCATCAACTTTACACTCAGCCTCTTCAGTAAAGCAGTGGTTGTCTTGGATGTGTGTTTGGGGTCATTGTCATGCTGGAACACTGCTCTGCAACCCAGTTTCTGGAGGGAGGGGATCATGCTCTGCTTCAGTATTTCACAGTACATGTTGGAGTTCATGTTTCCATCAATGAAATGTAACTCTCCAATACTTGCAGCACTCATGCGGCCCCAGACCATGACATTCCCACCACCATGAATGACTGTAGGCATGACACACTTATCTTTGTACTCCTCACCTGGTCGCCGCCACACATGCTTAAGGCCATCAGAACCAAACAAATTAAATTTTGTCTCATCAGACCATAGGACATGGTTCCAATAATCTATGGGCTTTGTTGACATGTCTTCAGCAAACTGTTTGCGGGCTTTCTTGTGTATTGCCTTCAGAAGAGGCTTCCTCCTGGGGTGACAGCCATGCACACAAATTTGATGTAGTGTGCGGCGTATGGTCTGAACACTAACAGGCTGAATCCCAATCTCTTTAATCTCTGCAGCAATGCTAACAGCACTCCTACGCCGATCTTTCAAAGAAAGTATTTGGATGTGACACTCAGCTTCTTTGGACGACCTACCCGAGGCCTGTTCTGAGTGGACCCTGCTCTTTTAAAATGCTGGATGATCTTAGCCACTGTGCTGCAGCTCAGTTTCAGGCTGTTGGCAATCTTCTTGTAGCCTTGGCCATCTTTATGTAGTGCAACAATACGTTTTTTAAGATCCTCAGAGAGTTCTTTGCCATGTGGTGCCATGTTGGAACTTTCATTGACCGGTAAGAGAGAGTGTTAGAGCTGCACTACAAATTTGAATACACCTGCTCCCCATGAACACATGGGCTTAGTTACACTAATGAGTCACATGACATTTTGGAGGGAAAATGAAAAGCAGTACTCAATTTAGACATTTAGGGGTGTAGTTTTGTTAGGAGTGTACTCACTTTTGTTGCCAGGGATTTAGCTTTTAATGGCTGTATTTTGAGTTATTTTGAGGGGAAAAGAAATTGACTCTGTTATATATGCTGCAGACAGACTACTTTTCATTGTGTCAAAAGGTAATTTTTTCAGTGCTGTCCCATGAAGAGATATACTTAAATATTTGAAAAAATGTGAGGGGTGTACTCACTTTTTAGGATACACTGTATATATATAAATATATATATATATATATATATATATATATATATATATATATATATATATATATATATATATATATATATATATATATATATATATATATATATATATATATATATATATATATAATCGTTTCATCCCAAGCAAGGCGGGAAGCCACTAGCACGCAAGTGGTTACAGACAGTTGGAGCGAGAGCAAATAGAAGTGATAGAGGAAAAGATGACGAGAAGGATAGGGGATAGATCAGAGCATCTAGAGACGTCGATTGAAATTACTTTTGAATAGTTGAAGATTATAGCTATCAGGGAAACAAGAAATGGGGAGGGAGTTTCACAGGCGAGAGGTGCGAGACATGAAGCTATTGGAGTAGAAGCGACAATTACATTTAACAGTTTTGACAGTGAAAGTGTGAGAGCGAGATGCCAGCCTAGTTGAGCGCTTAAATTATTTGAAGTCTGGGAACCAGCGAAAGCAGCTCATCGGAGCAGTTACCATGAAAGTATTTGTAAAAAGACAGAGGGAGGTGACGGTACGCCTGTGAGGAAGCGACTGCAGACGAGATACCATATATATATATATATATATATATATATATATATATATATATATATATATATATAAATTTTTAATACATTTTCTGTTTATACATTATTTTAAGAGATACAATTTATTTAAGTAAATGATCTGTTTCTAATTAAACAGTATTAATTATATTTACCAGCCCCAATTTTCGAGAAGTTTTATAGAAAATATGCATTTTTCTACAGAAATCGAAGCTGAGTCCTATACGAAACGGTCACTTGATCTAACGTGCTATACCCCTCAGTTACAGAGGAACTATCAGGTTAGCGGAGTCTAAATTACTGTTTACTATCTCCCGGTTCACACTTCTCCCCGGCCTTTTGAACAAGAGTAGAGATGTATTCCTTGTTTAGGATTGGGTTTGCGGTTCCTTCTAATAACATTTTATTCTCTTTAGCTTGCAGTAGCCCTCTTGCGTCTTAATGGCTTTATCGCCTTGCTTTGGGGAATTAATAAAAAGAAAGTATGTAATAAATGTTTGGCTTGCCTGGTGAATAACTTCAATAGTGTTAAGTTTCAGGGTTCAATTCTTGTTGTATCCATAGTTTTGAATGCTGATTTTTAAAGCAATCCGTTCGGAGTATAATTTTTTTCTGTTGCCCTAGTAAACCGCACTAGTATCCTTGTGCCAGACTTAGTGAGGTTTTTATTTTAACACATTTAGATCTTTGTAATCGTTCGCTTCTTGCTCATCAAACCTGACCATCAAGTATTTATCTCTTCCCCACATCCTCTCGCTCTCTCATTCATCCATTCTTTTCTCTCTCTCTCTCTCTCTCTCTCTCTCTCTCTCACTCACTTTCCAGTCCTTCTCTTTCTTTCCGTCGCTCTTTTATTTCTTCTTTTCTTTTTCAATTTCGTCTTCATCTTCATGAATATTTAATGCACTCTGCATGAATGGAGACGGCTGCAAATCGAGATGCCTGCTGTATCCTTCCGCCATAAAAAAAGACCAATGAATTAGATGACCCCTACCCACACAACCGCATCCTTCCAATCTCCTTAATCCTCACCAATTTGCTGCCATCCAGGGTCCCAACCCTTGGCCCCGAGGCGACATTACTTCGCCTTCTTGGCTGGCAAAGACTGAAATTAAATGGAACCAACCTTATGGACGGTGCTATGACTCGACATTTATTCTTGAGACATTAGAAAAATATCTGCAGAAGATATGCGCTCACTAACAACATCAATAATAATAATAATAATAATTATTATTATTATCATTATTATTATTATTATGCATTGCCATATATATATATATAATGTGGTTATTGCTGAAGATGGAATGACAGCAAATATCCAGAAGATTTTAACCTCGTCAAGGATTGGCACCACCATTTTAAAAGTCCCAACACATGTCACATGATGAACAGACCAAGAAACCATTCGCAGAGATCGAGGCTCAACTGCGATTGATGGAGGAGAGTGGTATACAGCTCAACACGGCTCCATCCGGGGGGGAAGTCCGAAAGAAAAAGAATAAGAAGGCCGAAAGAAGAAGAAAAAGAATAAGAAGAAGGCTGAAAGAAGAAGAAGAAGAAGGCCAAAAGAAAAAGAAAAAGAAGAAGAAGGAGGCCGAAAGAAGAAGAAGGCCAAAAGAAAAAGAAAAAGAAGAAGACCGAAAGAAAAAGAAAAAGGCCGAAAGAAGAAGAAAAAGAAGAAAAAGGCCCAGAGAAAAAGCAAAAGAAGAAGGCCGAAAGAAGAAGAAGAAGTCCGAAAGAAGAAGAAAAAGAAGAAGAAGAAGGCCGAAAGAAGAAGAAGAAGGTCGAAAGAAGAAAAGGAAGAAGAAGAAGAAGAAGAAGGCCGAAAGAAGAAGAAGATGATGAAGAAGAAGAAGAAGGCCGATAGAAGAAGAAGAAAAAGAAGGAGAAGGCCGAAAGAAAAAGCAAAAGAAGGCCGAAAGAAGAAGACGAAGAAGAAGAAGGCCAAAAGAAGAAGATGATGAAGGCCAAAAGAAGAAAATAAAAAGAAGAAGAATGCCGAAAGAAGAAGAAAAAGAAGAAGAGGCAGGCCGAAAGAAGAAGGCCGAAAGAAGAAGAAGGCCGAAAGAGGAAAAAGAAGAAGAAGACCGAAAGAAGAAGAAGGCCGAAAGAAGAAGAAAAAGAAAAAGGTCGAAAGAAGAAGAAGAAGGCCGAAAGATGAAGAAGAAGAAGAAGTAGAAGAAGGCCAAAAGAAGAAAAAGAAGAAGAAGGCTGAAAGAAAAAGGAAAAGAAGAAGGCCAAAAGAAGAAAAAACAGAAGAAGAAAAAGGCCGAAAGAAGAAGATGATGAAAAAGAAGGCCGAAAGAGGAAGAAAAAGAAGAAGAAGCAGACCGAATGAAAAAGCTAAAGAAGAAGGCCGAAACAAAATAAAAAGAATAAGGCCGAAAGAAGAAGAAGAAGAAGAAGGCCAAAAGAAGAAAAAGAAGAAGAAGGCCGAAAGAAGAAGAAGATGATGAAGAAAAAAAAGAAGGCTGAAAGAAGAAGAAGAAGAAGAAGGCCGAAAGAAGAAGAAAAAGGAGACCGAAAGAAGAATAAGTTTGAAAGAAGAAAAAGAAGAAAAAGAAGAAGAAAAAGAAAATGAAAGTAGAAGAAGGTGAATATCAGTTTAAACAATTTAGCTGTCCGTGTGGTGCAATGGACTCAAAATCTTTAATTGGATCATAGCTTAGATTAAGTGAATGGATATCAAAACGACAAAGCTTCACAATTGACATCGCATGCATCATCTCAAGACTGGTGTTAATCGTCTGTATGTGTCCAGATCCGAAGGAGGCAGAGGATTAGTTCAACTAGAAATGTGTTATAAAGCAACAACAATCGATCTTCAAAGATACCTAGAAACTACAGAAGACTTGATGATGACCTGTGTCAAAGAACATCAAAGAAATTCAAAACTTTATTCAGTAATAAAGGAAGCCAACAAAATCAAAATACAATAAACCATAATCCACATATCGCAGCGACAAAGAAACTGAAAAAGAAAGCAAATGCAATGTACCAAATGAAGAAACAATGAGAAGATACACCTCTTTATAGTCAAAACTCTGCTCTGTACCAAACAAGCTGATGTAGACAAACCCCATACCCATCAAAGTTTACGTCGTGCAGATTTAAAAGCTGAAACCAAAGGTTTTTTATTCTTGCTGGAGGGTACTAATACTTTGTTACTAGAAATTACAAAAGACACATACTGAAAAATTGTGTTGGCCCCAAATACACAATCTGTGATAAATATCCAGAAACAATGGATCATCTTGTATCAGGTTGCCAGGTGTTAGCACTCACTGGATATAAAACTCGCCATGATATATGGGCCAATATCTACAATGGAAAGTATGCAACTATTATGGGAAGGACACTGCAAGATATTGGTATGCACATTACCCAGATCCGCTTATACAGACAGGACTTGTAACAATTTTATGGTATTTTACAATAAACACAGACAAAACAATCAATGCTAATCGCCCAGACATCGTGATCAAAGACCACAAAACCAAAATGTGTTTCCTTATTGACATGGCAGTCTCTGCAGACTGTAATGTATTTTATCCACTGTGCCTGGATAAAGGCGTTAGTTAGATCCAGTGACAGGATCCAAAGAGTGTGAGTTCAATACCCGGTCAAGGTAGTGGAGAACTTTCAGAGGGGAATTAACAGGAGATAACTGATAACTGACATCCATTAAATATGGCACGTGGAATTAGAACAGTCTACCCTAGTGAGCGAAATAAAGGGTTCAGTTCGACATTCCGACCACCTGAAGAAGGCTGGAGCGTACAACGGCCGAAACGTTTTAATAAATATGGCGACAAAGATGAGGACAATAGTCCGAATAATGTAAATAATGAAAAATTATTATTATTATTATTATTGCCATACATATGAAGTGGTTATAGGAAATAGCAATTATCATGAAATTCATGAGTCATTGGCAAACTCACTGCAGAAGATATGGTCTCCAATAATAACAAAAATAACAACAATGATAATAATAGGAAGAAGGAGGAGAAAAAGAATTATTATTATTATCATCATGTTTCAAACGTATTTATTGCATGTAATTGAATGATAGCAAATATCCTGAAATTTTCAGGACCTTCCTCAGTATCACCAGCAAAATCATGGTCCCGACTCCAGACATTTTACAACTATTCTAGGCCCAACCTCGGGTGATTCCTAATACTTTTTGTTTTCTTTTCTTTCAACAAGTCCCGCTTCGCTGTTGAAATACATTAATAAACCAGAATGTTTTCTTCAACCGTTTTTTTTTTAACGTCCGCTATTTTGCGATAAATCCACTATTTTTCTGATTCCAGACACATCGATCACCAAATTAGCGCCATCGAAATTCCAACCATTACTAAAATACTCAGAATAATGGCTGAAAGCTCCAAATCAGAAACATTTGAACAATTCATTCATTACACATGATCACTAAAACATAAGCAAGTAAAGAAATTAAAAAAAAATTATTTACTAATATTCACCTAATACAAGGCCCGAGGGATACTTAAGGTAGAGAGGTACTGTATGGAGTTGTATTAGCGTAAAAAGGACAAGAATTGAAGTTCTTGGGGTTATGCAAGAAAGATAATGGCTAACTCTAGACTTGAGGAGGTCAAGATTGAATTAGTGAATAACATTTCAGAGTTTAAGTGGAGACTTTAGATTTATAGAGTTGAAGCAGAATTTAGTAGAAACCAGAAACCCAATCCTAAACAGGAAACAAGGAATAAACCACTAATCTTGTTCAAAAAACTGAGGAGGAGTATAAACAGGGCGATCATCTTGATCAGATTGCCCGGTGAAAGATAGTTTTTATCTAATTCATAATTAATCTACCGTAAAGAAAAATATTCTAAGATCACATGA